TCAGACGAAGAAAGAGGAGCAGAAGATGTCGACACTGGAGACGAGTGACGCCAACAAAGCCAAAGAGGTTAAGCAGAAGAAGCTGTGGAGGAATGCCATCGAGAAGAGTGAGGGCATCAAAGTGAAGGACAACTCGAAACTGATCGAAAAGTCAGTGAAACGACGCGAGAAGATGAAGAAGAAGAGCTCCAAACAGTGGGAGGAGAGGAAGGAGTCGTTGGATAATCGGATGAAAACAGCTAACGATAAGCGCCAGAGGAATATCGACAAGAGGACGAGGGATAAGAAGGAGCACCGGATTAAACGGAACAAGAAAAAGGGCCGCATTTTCGACATTAAAAACTAATTTTAATGAATAAGTTATGAATACTTTTTATTTACAAAATAATACTTATATTATCTATGTTTCGGACATTTGTTTTGTGACACAAAAGATGTTTAGTTTTTCATTCATAATAAATAATAACTTATATTTGGATCACACGTGCGGACACTGTTCGTCCGTTTTGTTCATATATTTCTCATTTTAATGAATGCAAAGACGGCCACAAAGAGGAAGAAAGCGGATCCGATGCCGACAGGGATTCCCAGCGCTAACGCCATCGACTCTCTCGGGAAGAATTGTCTTATGATATGCTTCTCGTTAACCATCGGTATAACGATTATCCAAAGCGTGTAATATATGAGAGAGATTGAGCTTAACGTCAATAAACCGATACCCAGTTGTCGGTCGTACCCCTGGTTATCATATTTATCGTTAAATGTATGGATAATGCATTCAATACCGAAACTTACGATGAAATTAATTATCATTTCATGCGGTAGTTGTGACCAAAAGCTTATAATTTTCTAAACTTTATATTAATCATGAAAAAGCACGTGACATGAAAAAGTATATTAATAATAATTGTGATTACATTTGAACATTTGATTCAATGATTTATTGGCAAAATATGTATTCATTGGAGAAACACCTTTGCATTGATTGGCAATGTGTTTACATTTTGATTGCATAACACGTGTATTGCGCTCTCTATTGGATTCAATGGTAAAGAGTTTGCATCAAAAAACTTTTCTCTTGCTTTTCTTTCCACTATTTAATGCTATTTTTAATAAACTTCTCAAACATTGAATTCTATGTCTGAATGGTATTTAATATAACATCTTATATAATAAGCAAAAAGTTTTCTCTCTTTCCCTCTCCCATAGCGTGTAATGTTAGCGCTGGGGGTACGGCATGTGTGGTGTCGTGAGCGCCGTTCGGCTAAAAATAGCATCTTTTGGGCCAAGTATTCAACGCATTCAGCCTTCACTCCACTTCTTGAGTGTATTGCAAACCTAGTAATAGTGAGTCGTATTTGAAAATTATTG